CCTACAAAGTATGAATCGAGATTAAGGTATAGAACAAAAGTAGTTATACAAGGCCACACACGATAATCTCAACACTTAAGACGAGTACTTCCATTTCTTGACCTTTAATTCTGTGCTCCAACCCCCTCTCTCTCAAATAACTACCCTTGGTACCATAGCTTAGTTATATACTTGATAAAAATATAAATAGAAGAACTCTTCTCTAAGAACTAAGTAAAATATTCAGGTCACTTACCTCATTGAAACTATCCCACAGATCATCACTTTGAATGGATGCATAGCTATGATTATGCAGGTAAAAAACAACAGCATGTTGAAATACATCTTCACTAAGATAAGTTTTCAGCATCAACAAGAGGGAAGCTCCCTATTAAAAAAAAAAGTGAGAAAAGGGGGGAAATAATAGACTATAATAGGTTTATAGAATTGAGAACCTAAAATTCAAAATATAATTATTCTAAGTATATTCTTACATATAGAGAACCCAGTTATAATACAGTTATTTACTGTCATATAATCAGATGTGAATTGTGTTCAAATTGTCTGAAAAATTATTTTAAGGGATTTGACAAAAGAATAATGGGAGTAGATTCCCATGTGTACTCATTCTACTAAAAGCCATTTTATGTGGTCTATTGGTTCCTGTCTCAGTGTTATGATAAAAAGCTAAGTGTTTATAAATATATCTTTAATAGAAAAGCATGCCACATTTTCTGGGGAATCCCCATCCCAGTGCTCACAATACCAGTTGAATTCATGGGTTCACTGCCAGAGATAATAAACAAACAGAGCTCCAAAAGCCATTCTGCTGGGGAGTATGTTAATTTCAAGTTTTAGTATATCATGTTGCTAAAATAACCAAGATCTCTCTTCTTCCTGCAGAGTCACTTCAAATATGCTTGGAACTAATGAATGTACAGGGTAGGAAGCATACACTAATAATTCCGAACCCGGCATGCAACTGTTAAGGCTCTTCAGTGACACTGGATCATCGCTGAATAATATGTCATCATTTCCAAAAAACATCTTTGTGAAGCCTTCCCTGCTTCGAGATAGAAGCAGTTCTCCATCTTCAAGAGCAATTAGATAGATACACATTTAAACATGTATTTATAGACATAGATATATATTTATTCCCTCTTCTAGACTGTATGCTAATTGAGGGAAAATCCAAAAAGCTCAATTCCAGTGCCTAACACAACACCTAATAACAGAAGGAACTCAAATAGTTTTTGAATTTCATTTCTGGTAAAAATGTAGCAGTATTAAGCCATCAGGATGATCAGATACAGACAACGGAATTTAATGCCGATTACTCCCTTTTTTCTATATCACGCTTCAGGGTGCTACTTGTTCTATCAATTTAATACGTACTCATTCTTGTTCCCAACAGATCCCTTTCGCCCTGGAGCACCAACTTTCCCTCACTACTGTTACATTCCCATTAACAAAACTATGCAACATTCCTCATTTAAAACAAATAAAACATGTCCTTCCTTTCTTTAACCCCATGCCTCTTTCAGTTATCACCCTATTTCTTATTTGCCCTTTGTGGTAAACTCCTCGAAAGAGCTGTCTACATCTGCCATCTCCATTTGCTCTCTTACCACCTTCTCTAGAGCCATCATCAAACCATCACTCCACTGGAAGTGTTTTTATCAAGGTCACTGGAGAACTTCATGGTGTCAAACCAATAGCAATTCCCACACTCATCTTATCAACCTGCTAGCAGCATTTGATATGACTGATCACTCACTCCCCCTTTCGAGTCTTTCTGCACTTCGCCTGGCGTCACCCCTCTTGATTCTCCCCCTATTCACTGGCCATCGTTCTCAGTCCCTTGCTGGATCCTCATCTCCATGGAACCACCTCATTTTGGTGGCCCCTGCATTTAAATTTTAGACCTTTTTTCTTTTCTTTAGAAATTTACTTCCTAGTTGATCTCAGCAGACAACCTACATCAGAGTTAGGCTTGGAGATTAAAAAACCCAGAAAGAATATGTCTGTCCAACACATTTCCCTAGTGACGCTTACTTGTTCTTGCATACAATATTGGTAAATTACTCAGTGTCCTACTTTTCCCAATTATGTGGGATATTTGCCAGATTCCCAAATCCTGAAATAAGTAGTTACCATACTGATAGGAGTTAGATATGCTGTGGAGACCACATGATCAGAAGACACTGAATTCGGGGCTTAGCGGGTGGGGGTCAGAGGATGACAGAGCTCTGTCAAAACAAATCCTGAATTAACAGTTCTGGAGAAGAACAGAACCACAAGTTTAAACATTTTATCAACAGATCCAATACGGGCTTTAAAAATCACAGCAGCAGCTCTGATTGGAATATATTTAATATAGCTAATTAAACTCCTGATTCCTTATTTGTTAACAGTACTACCATTTTCCATGCCATTCGGGTGTTAACCTGGAAAACACAGCTCCCCCTTTGTTTACCTGCCTTATCCTGTCACTAAATCCTTCCACAACTTCCCTCCACCCAGTGTTTTTACACTCATCATTTTCCTTCCACTTTCACTACCACTCCTAATTTCACACTTTGACCACATCATGCTTGGACTTTAGCAGCAACTTCCTGACTTTAGGTCTCCCTCCACTTAAATCTACTTTGTGAGCTGGAACAAATTAGTTTTCCTAAACAGTAACTTTAACCAAGGAATTCCTCTGTTTGAAAATCTTCTAAAGCTTCCCATTGCTTACAGAAAAAAGTCCAAATTCCTGCCCCAACCTACCTTTCTCATCTTTCCCCTACTCCACATATGGCTTCCACCGCAGTCAAGCATTTACTCCCTAAACAAAAATGTCTTGCCCATTAGTATTCCTGACTTTTTCTTTGTAGACTTCAATGCCTCATTCCTGCCCTACTCAGTGCTTCCCATTCCTCTTTATCTGTATTCTTTTTAATTCCCTTCAATTTCCATTTTCCTCCAAAAAAGCTCTCTTCATAATCCTAGGTAAAAAAAAGTCTATACCATTTATTCCACACACATCATCTCTTACTGCTTCACAAGTACCCACCACCTAAACTTCGAGTTTCTTGATGATATGGACTGTATCTCACATGTTTTGTGTATATTTTCTGTCCAGTACAGGAATTCGTTTATTAATCAATTAATCTGACTGCCAGAGCAAGGAGGCAAATAAGTCCAAACATTCATGACTCCCACCACAATTGTGAGTGGCACTGTTCTGTTCTCTGACCTACGGTGATCCTTTTTTTTTTTTTTTTTAAGATTTTATTTATTCATTTGAGAGAGAGAGAGAGCAGGGGTGGGCGGAAGCTGCAGCAGGAGAGGGAGAAGCACACTCCCCGCTGAGCAGGGAGCCTGACCAACCAGGGCTCAATCCCAGGACTCAAAGATCATGACCTGAGCCAAAGGCAGACGCTCAGCCATCTGAGCCACCCAGGTGTCCCTGACCTATGGTGATCCTAATCAGGTTTCTAGTTTTCTGTTTTTGCTTCACTCCCAAACCTGGAGTCTGTGTTTCTGATCCTAACAATCTAGTTTTTAGTTCCTACAATCTCTTTTTGTTTACATGTTTTGGCAATTGTGACTTTGGAACTTGCCTCAATTCTCAATAACCCAGCCAAGGGCTTGCTTAGAACATTCCCTGGGTATATTCTACCTGTAGATCTGGAGACTGAACAAACTTTAAAAGATATATTGCTGTGGGGCGCCTGGGTGGCTCAGTCGTTAAGCGTCTGCCTTCGGCTCAGGTCATGATCCCAGGGTCCTGGGATCGAGCCCCGCATCGGGCTC